AAGGAAAGGAAAGCACTGAACTGTGACACTGTATCTTACTGATTCAGACAACTGTTACTTTAATGTTCTCTTACTTATCTGTGTCATATGTATAATAACCAAAATTTCATGCAGAAGGAATTTCGGAAATCAAGCTTTTTGAAATACAAGTTACAGTATTTTAAGTGGGATCGGCTATAAAATATCTGAAATTATAATACTTAAACCATAACAATATGGAGTAAAAGCCTGATTAGCCCATCAAGGGGGCTTGCTTCTTCTGTCTTCCGACTCAAACATATATGGGATTTGCTGTCTGTGGCAAGTCATCTCCAACTCATGTATGGTTTTAGGTTATTTTAGTTGTCAAGGAGTTGTTTTATTTATTAGTTATAATATCTTTAATTTCCACTTTAATATATTTAATTTGTGCTTTAGTTATCGTCTTTTCTTTTATTTTGTTGTTTCCTTGAGGTTGAACATCCTGTGTGTGATGATACCAGTTGTTACTTTTTAGGGGGAAAAAAACAACACATACACACACACACACACACACACACACACACACACACATTTAATTTCAGTTTCGTAGGAATCCTTTTAACTGAGTCATTTACACCTGGGCTGATTTCTCCCAAAGGTATGAGTGAAAGAACAGCTGACTAAGCCAGCAATCTCCAAAATGGAGTTTGCACACCCCAGGGGGAAAAACAGCATAAATTATCTGTGTTTGCCTTTGTTTGTGCTTTTATAATATACTACAGGCCTGATGCATGAAATTTGTGCAAAGGCCTCGGCCCTCGCAGCCCCGGCTTTGTCTGGAAGGTCATCTGGAAGGTCGTTTGGCTGTCCAGTCTAATTAGCATATTATGCTTTTATTAGTATAGATTAACATGTTGATGCTAATATAGGTATATGATTTATAAGTAAACATGATGCTCAAAAAATGCATGCTCAGGATTTTGGGCTGATAGGCATAGGCAATCACATATGTTTAGAGACCTCTGCTCTGAGCATGGATGCTCTAAGCATGATGGGCAGTTTATCATTCACCAGGGTTCACATCCAATTGAAGGGGAGAAAAGGCAGGTTCCTCCAGCTCTGGGCAGCAGTATAGTGTCATTCCTGGTTGGTGGAGAGATGGAGAGCTTAGGAATATGGAAAGTGTGTGTTTTCTGGTCTCGTTGTCTAAAATGGCACTTTCTTTATAGCATAGGGAATATAGTCAACACTAGTTTAATAACTATGTATGGTGCCAGGAAAGTACTAGACTTATGGGGGGGAGGGAGAATCCCTTTGTAAATTATATAAATGTCTAGCCACTATGCTATACACCTGAAACTAATATAATATTCAATATCAACTGTCAGTTTTTAAAAAGAAGTAACTACAAAAATTAAATAAAAAATGTAATAAAATGGCACTTTACTTGGGACTTTCTCTCCAAAAAGGACTCAGCTGGCCAAGTCCTTTTCCCTGCTAAGAAGAACTCTTTACCATGACTGGAGGTCAATGCCAAAGCCAAGGACTGAGTCTTGGGCTGATGCCAACCCAGACTTTGTGCTTAAAACGTGGCATTAGATTTCTTGACTTCAAGGTCATGGCCAATAGGCAATTTAGGGTGTTTTTTTTTCAATTGTCCTCCCTGCCAAGAAAATTGACAATGCTCTCTATATCCTCTGCAATCTATGTTGATTGTAGGAATGGAGTGTGGATTATACATTGTTCACACACACACACATTTAATTTCAGTTTCGTAGGAATCCTTTTAACTGAGTCATTTACACCTGGGCTGATTTCTCCCAAAGGTATGAGTGAAAGAACAGCTGACTAAGCCAGCAATCTCCAAAATGGAGTTTGCACACCCCAGGGGGAAAAACAGCATAAATTATCTGTGTTTGCCTTTGTTTGTGCTTTTATAATATACTACAGGCCTGATGCATGAAATTTGTGCAAAGGCCTCGGCCCTCGCAGCCCCGGCTTTGTCTGGAAGGTCATCTGGAAGGTCGTTTGGCTGTCCAGTCTAATTAGCATATTATGCTTTTATTAGTATAGATTAACATGTTGATGCTAATATAGGTATATGATTTATAAGTAAACATGATGCTCAAAAAATGCATGCTCAGGATTTTGGGCTGATAGGCATAGGCAATCACATATGTTTAGAGACCTCTGCTCTGAGCATGGATGCTCTAAGCATGATGGGCAGTTTATCATTCACCAGGGTTCACATCCAATTGAAGGGGAGAAAAGGCAGGTTCCTCCAGCTCTGGGCAGCAGTATAGTGTCATTCCTGGTTGGTGGAGAGATGGAGAGCTTAGGAATATGGAAAGTGTGTGTTTTCTGGTCTCGTTGTCTAAAATGGCACTTTCTTTATAGCATAGGGAATATAGTCAACACTAGTTTAATAACTATGTATGGTGCCAGGAAAGTACTAGACTTATGGGGGGGAGGGAGAATCCCTTTGTAAATTATATAAATGTCTAGCCACTATGCTATACACCTGAAACTAATATAATATTCAATATCAACTGTCAGTTTTTAAAAAGAAGTAACTACAAAAATTAAATAAAAAATGTAATAAAATGGCACTTTACTTGGGACTTTCTCTCCAAAAAGGACTCAGCTGGCCAAGTCCTTTTCCCTGCTAAGAAGAACTCTTTACCATGACTGGAGGTCAATGCCAAAGCCAAGGACTGAGTCTTGGGCTGATGCCAACCCAGACTTTGTGCTTAAAACGTGGCATTAGATTTCTTGACTTCAAGGTCATGGCCAATAGGCAATTTAGGGTGTTTTTTTTTCAATTGTCCTCCCTGCCAAGAAAATTGACAATGCTCTCTATATCCTCTGCAATCTATGTTGATTGTAGGAATGGAGTGTGGATTATACATTGTTGGGTACAATTACCTCCCGGAATACAATGCATCTTTTTTCAGACATCCCAGGGAGATAATTTGGACATAATGAAGATCTATAGTAATCAGATAATTACTATCGATTGCTCTTTAGACGTCTTGATGAGGTAATTAGGGTCTACTGGAAAGAAGCTAGAACTGATTGATTGGCATGACTGTAATCTCAAAGATTTCTAATTATGTTTCTTTTCTTCTAATGGCTTATAAACAAACATCATTTTAGCTTTAGAATTTGTCAGGTGCCAGGTTCACTGGGAACATCAGCTTTCTCTATTATGCTAACTAGACACTGAGCATGAACATGATCAACATAAGCTCATTATACTTTCCTGCTGAAGCAAAAGAAACTGCAATTAACCCTCCCTTTTCTTATGCGTCTTCATTTCCACATGGCCAGCTTCTTACCCAGAATGGAGTGTGAAGTGCTGTAGGAGGAGGTCCAAGAGGAGCATGTGGTTCTGGGCTGGGGAGATCTGTGCAGCTACTGGGGTCCCTCAGAGCCTGCCGAGCTGCAGGCACAGCGGAGCCAGGGCACCATGACACAACATGTGTGTCCGGGTGGCAACTGACTGGTTGGGGGCTGGCTGACTGCTCAGGCTCCTGTCACAAGTAATAGCTACTCATCAGCCAGAGAAGTTGAATAACCTCAGCGTCGATACTCTCAAGCAGCTGGACCATGCTGGTCTTTCCGTCAATGTGCTATTGCCTCATCTCTTCCATTAGACACTAATTAGGGGAGTCCCAGGCTGAGACCATTTCAGACCCAGTCTGAAATCCTAACATTTCCTACGCCTTAGAGGACCTCTCAGCAGCTTGCCTTGTTCAGAATAGTGGCCTGGCTCAGAGAGGATGGATGCTGAGAACCGCTAAAAAAGCAGCTTAAAATGAGCTGTCCACATCTAATCAATGATGTTGGTGAGCCCTGCACTTACTGGACTGCAGTCTGGTTCCATAGTTACAGTTCTCCTCTGTAACCCATGTGTGCTTGGTATCCTGGTAGGGGCCCAATACATGTGTGTGAAACGGCCTCTGTTATTGAACCCCATGTTTTCTATTGAAATCTCACCAAAGAAGAAAATTTACATTTTTATAAAATCCGTTGTTTTCTTGAAATCCTATTTAAAAAAAAAAAAGGTTGCAATATACCTCGTATTTGTGTCACTAAAACTTTTAAAGCATGAGGGGTGCACAGCGAGCACAGGGGTGCTGTAGACAGCAAAGGAGACCCATGGTATTTTGTTCATTGATCACCTGTGGTTTGATGCTATTTGGATAATTGCAGCTGTAGTGGAAATGCCCCATTAACTCCCATTAACCAACTTGAGGGATGTAAGTACATATAGAATTTGTCTTCGTTTTACATCTTCATAGTATAAGTAAAGCTATATAGCATTTTTTATCAGCCACAGTTACTGAGATGTTCTTTTTAAAATTTAAGCTAAGTAATTGTTTAGTTCAATTATGATACTGAGAAATCTTTCTAATCTACATCAGTATATTTTCCTCTATAAGACATAGTGAACACAATTCATTTTTTTGATAACTTGAAATTATGCAATGGATTATTTTAAGCAAAATATTACTATTTTATTTCTGTAGGTATGGAAACTACAAAAGATTGAAAAAAATTCCCCAAACATTCCAAATTTTTGTTCATGAGCTGGTTTTACCAAGTCCAAGACAACGGGTTTGTTTGCTAGTTACTTGCCCCTTTCCCTAAAAGTTCATTGAAAATCTACTTATCTATTTATAGTTCCACCTATTTTTTCTTTTTCTGTTTATTCTTTTCCATTTGGGGTTCTTATGGTTATTTTCCTGTATGTGAATAAGTAGTCCGCTTGTTCATCGGGAAGTGCCCTCTGTAATGAATTTGCCCCCCACAGTGTGATTGCTGAAGCGGAGTTGATGGTCAGTAGGATCCAGTCACATATACACTGGCAGGGGCTTCAGCTGAAGGGCCTCCAGGCTGCAGCAGTGGAGGTCATATATTGCACAAGTTAGCAGGGTGGCGGGAAGGCACAACGAGGAAACACTCATTGGATGAGAGAGCTGATGAAAGTGACACAATTCAGTAACTTGCTTTCGGTTTGGGCCATGTCATTGCAGGAAGTTTTGCAGCTTGAGAGACAGATGGGAGGACAGCTCCTAGAAGAACCGAAGGCTCTTCATTTCAAAGGCAGCACCCACAACCTGCGCCTGTCCATTCACGACGTCGCCCATTCCCTCTGGAAGAGCAAATTGCTGGCTAAGTATCAGGTAAGGTACCTAAGATGAACTAAAGGCTTGGAGTCAACTCCATGAAGGAGGACTGCACTTATTAGACATAACATATTCCCTTCTCCGAAGTTAATCAGACATATATCAGCACTTGTTTCTCCAAAATAATTTAGGATCATTTGAGATTTTTGAAAAATACTCTAGACATATTTGAAGGAATGCCTTTTTCTTAATTCTCCTTCAAATAATTGAACTATCATTGTTTTAGTGCTAGCAAATAAGACTTCCAAGTCCCTCATGACATTCTCAGGGTAAATGTTTACATTGGCTTGATTTTAAAAACTCTTGAAGGCATTCATAAGAGAAACAGAAGAACATTGTTATCCCTCATGACACAATTAGGCTTTGGCCTTGCTAGGAGAGTCCCTTTACTTTGAAAACTTAGAAGAAACCCCAGTTTTGAAACTGAAATAGAACGTAAAATAAAACCTGGGCCCTGGCCAGTGTGGTTCAGTTGGTTGGGCACCATCCCCTGCACCAAGCGGTTGCTGGTTCGATTCCTGGTCAGGTCACATGCTCAGGTTTCGGGCCAGATCCCCAGTAGGGGGCGTGCAGGAGGCAGCCGGTCAATGTTCTGCTCTCACATCAATGTTTCTCTTTCTCTCTCCCTCTCCTTTCCTCTCTCTCTCTAAACATCAATAAAAATATTTTAAAAATAATAATAAAACCTGGTCAGGATTGTAGTAAATATTAGCATACCGACCCCAAGCCCCATTGTATGTTCCTGTGGAAAGAGCATAGGGACTCTTCAGGGGTTTGCACCTCCTCCTCCGTCAGCCGGAGCTATCAGGAGACTATGTGGCAGGATCTCTAGCCTCATTTCCAGTCCCAGAGATGCAGACACACCTCGATAAGCTGCGCAGACTGGTCTACATGCATGTAAATCCCATCCCATGCCAGCACTGCGACTGGACTGGTTGTGGTTTCCTGGTATAAGTCAATGAAGATACTAGAAGGAAGGAAGGGGAGATTGTCCAGCTCCATTCATATTCTCATATGTCTAACACTCACACATACATGGTGGGAGACAAATGGGTAGCAGTCTTGCGCTTTGATGGGGGTGCATGCCGGAGTCTTCTTTATCACTCAGCACTTGAGAGATCTGGCTTTTAACTTTCTCATTAAATCTCTTCCTTTACTTTCTTCTTCTCCCTAATTTGCAACTGCCATAACAGTCCACAAGTCTTCCCCTTTTATGAACAATCTCCTTTGTGTAATCGTAAGGGGAAATCGTACGTTTATAATAATGATTATCTGATATTAGTTCAGCTAAGGCTGGCTGAATGCCTACGCTCAGCCAGACACTCATGCACTGTGGTTGATCTAACGCCAGCTGGTGTTTGACTTAGGTATTCGTTTGCTTACTCTTTCGCAGATGAAGAGACTGAGGCATGGAAAGGTTAAGTAACTTGCCCCAAATCACCAAGTAGGTGAGGGGAGTGTGTCCTCATTTGTACTTCATTCTCTGCCTTTAGCCACCTGTCCATCTGTTTTTTATGTATCAACCTTTTCTTTCCTTTATTGAAACAGATTTTAGGATGGGCTCTGTAAGGGGGTGTAGACTTGTGAAAATGCACACACAGTGGAGCCCCAGTTAGAGGCTCAGTGCTTTTAGGCCAAGGGCTTCTCTGCGGCAGCTAACCGAGTCTACAGTTTCCAGCGACAGTACAGGTTGCTTTCCCTCTGTCCTGTGCAGAGGGAAGATATGGGCATGAAAGGGACCTGGATCAGCCCACTGTCCTTTAGAGCTTCTTTGCTTTTCTGCAGAACACCACAGCAGGGCTTCCTTTTAATGAGCAACGACTGGAGTGTGCAGGTTTTATTTAATCCATTTACAATGGCTTTTTTTTTTTTTTGTAAATGAGAGACAAGTGGCAGACTGTATGGTATAGAGATTGTGGAGGCTGACTCCCTGGGTTCAAGTCTCAATTCTGCCACTTACTAGCTGTGGGGCTTTGGCTGCCGAATTTAACATCTCTGGGCCTCAGCGTTTTCATTCGAAAAGCAGTTTGGGATGGATTTATAGAGAGGTAGGCCTGTTGTGATTAAATGAGGTAGTATGTGTAATGCTGAAAAGAGTACTTGGCAACCCAGTGTCTGATAGTTCACCTTTGGTATTAGTCACTCATTTGTGGTGAACACGTTGGTATCCTTTAGGAAATTCCTTTTTACCACATCTGGAGTGGGTCGCAAAGAAACCTCCACTGCACATTCACTCTGGAAAGATTCAGCCTGAACACGGTGGAGCTGGTTTGCAAACTGTGTGTGCGACAGGTGGAAGGAGAAGGGCAGATCTTCCAGCTCAACTGCACCGTCTCAGAGGTAAGAAGCTCCGAAATCCAGGGACAGAATAACTGTGGGGAGGAGAGACAATGTGGAGTACAAAGGTATCTTGATACAGGCCACGTAGGAAGTCCTTAAAAGCTTTCTATAGGTCCTATTTGTTAATAACATGATATTTTAATGAACACAGAGAGCTAGATACATCCTATATAATAAAAGGCTAATATGCAAATCGACCAAACGGTGGAACAACTGTTCACTATGACGTGCACTGACCACCAGGGGACAGATGCTCAACACAGGAGCTGCCCCCTGGTGGTCAGTGTGCTCCTACAGGGGTGCGCCGCTCAACCAGAAGCTGGGCTCAAGTGCAGCAGCAGTGGTGGGACCCTCCCCCGCCTCTGCAGCAGTGCTAAGCTGCCAGTCGGACATCTCCCAAGGGCTCCTGGACTGTGAGAGGGTGCAGGCTGGGCTAAGGGACCCCCCCCTCCCCAAGTACATGAATTTCATGCACTGGGCCTCTAGTAAAGGAATAAAATAGGGAATCCTTTCTGAAAAACAAGTCTTACTTTTATGACATAAATTGAAGGATCATGTTCTAATGTTCTACAGCAGATCTGAGTCCCAAATATAAGGTTCATGTAAGTAATGTGCACATGGAGTAACTTTCCCTAAAGCATCCCTTGATGTGCTACATCCCCACTTCGGCCACCTCTCTTCCCTGCCCTCTTCTATCCTTAGGGAGCTCGCCTACCTTTTTGGAATCATGTGCTGCCTACTAAGGTGGAGGAAGAGAAACTGGCCTCTGCCCGCACCCCTCCTTTTTTCTTCTCTTTCCTTTTCCTCCTTGTTGAAAGGAAATATATCTGGGAAACATCATTCTCCAAATATAAGAAGATATGCCAGAGATAGGGGTGGGTGTGGGCAAAATGGGTGAGGGGGTCAAAAGGTGCAAATTTCCAGTTATAGCAAATAAACCATGAGGAGGTCATGCACAGCATGGTGACTGCATTAACAATAAGGTATTGCATCTTTGAAAGTTGATAAGAGGGTAGATCTTAAAGGTCCTCATCACAAGAAAAAAATAACTGTATATAAGAATGGATGTTAACTGGGCTTACTGTGGTGATCATTGCACGATCTACACACATGTTGAATTATATACATAATATTAGAGGCCCGGTGTACGAATTCGTGCACCGGTGGGGTCCCTTGGTCTGGCCTGTGGAATCGGACCAAAACTGGCTCTCCAATATCCCCCAACCAGTTCCGGATTACGAGAGGGTGCCGGCCAGGCCGAGGGCCACCCCCTCACCCCCCAGTGCACAATCGGGCAAGAAAGAGACACAGGAGGTTGGCCAACCAGGGAGGGACTGTGGGAGGGCTCCAGGGCGTGTCCGGCCCATCTCGCTCAGTCCCGATCGGCCGGACCCCAGTGGCAAACTAACCTACCGGTTGGAGCATCTGCCCCCTGGTGGTCAGTGCACATCATAGCAAGCGGTTGAGCAGCCTTAGCATATCATTAGCATATTACGCTTTGATTGGTTGAACAGCCAACTGGTCGAACAGACACTTAGCATATTAGGCTTTTATTATATAGGATAAGGCTCTAAGTCAATTATACCTCAATAAAGATAATTAAGAAAACAAAGAAAAGATGTCCCCTTCCCCGGGGTAGGATAAGTGTTCCATAAATAAAAGTAAAATCTGCGGATTTCCCCCGTAGTTGCCGCCCTTTGCCTTTCTCTGCTGTGATCCTCACTCAGTTCAGTTGGTCACTTTCCTAAGTCCCCACTACAGAGACAGCAGCACATGCTGCTACCTGTAAGCAAGCGCTCTGTGTGGAAAGAGGGTGCCAGGAAGGGATCGGGTCCCCTGGTCCCCCGGGTTGTGGTTTGCCAGTGGACACCCTGCTGGGAACAAAGGACGCAGAATAAGCAGAGTGATTAGAGGCAGCTCGCCCAGGGCCTGGCGGGGCTCAGCTCCGTGCTGTGTGCTGAGCCGCAGCGCCCGGGATCCTCGTATTTTAAATCACAGCAGACAGCGTGTGATTTAAAAGACGGCTTCTCCCTGGCTGTCTCGGGCACAGTGAGGAATGAAATGTCAGGCGGTGCAGCAAGCCTCGCTCTGCACGTTGTATTTACAGACCGTCTTCCTCTGCCAGGCAGGGCGGGGAGCCTCAGCCTCCAGGACGCTCCATCCCTCTTCCCACAGCCTGCCCGGCGGTCATCATTTCCTCCTGGAGTTTCAGGAGACTTCTGACTCATAAACAACTTTAGTCACAGACCCCGTGACATTCATCAGGAAGGAGCTGGGTGTCAGGGTGCCATGGCAACCGCAGGGCCCTCCGCGCAGCCCGGTCTCCCCGCGCACAGCACCACCCCTGCTGGCTCCGGAGGGTGTGTTCACTTTCCGGGCCCAGCAGGTCTGCAAAGTTCAATAACCACGCAGGCCCGGCGACAACAAAGGCTGCAGGATTTTGGAGGGGGCGAGGAGGGCTGCCCCTTTGATGCTTGCTTTCTGTTCAGCGGGAAGGCTGGCTGTGTGATGAAAAGGTGGATCAGACGCGCAGAGAAAGAGAGCGAGCCATGGAGGGCCCTTCCCCGCCAGGTCCGCCGCCCCCGCCCTCCGAGGGAAGAGACAGTCCTGCCTAGTGTGCTCGCCATGTAAGGACTTTCTTGTGCCAACGTGGAGGAAAAGAGGATTTCTTTGGCAACGTGGTGTCAGTCAGCTCAGAGAAGCCAGCCCTCAGTCCCCTAGAAGGCCTGTGCCAGCCTGGTATCGGAGGGAGGGGCAGAAATGACCGCAGTCAGATGACTTTGGGGATTAAAGGGCTCTGTGCTGCTCTTATTTCTGGGTCACTGAGTCCCACTGTTGTTAGCATTTGAATGCGGTGCAGGCGGCCCACCGAGGGGGGTGGGAGGAGTGTGGGGCTGGGTTCTGAGGTGGGGGAGTGAGCCTCAGCTCTGAGCAGTTTGCTCTGGAGGGCCTGAGCCCGGCTCCTCATCAAAAGCTCCGACAAGGGGTGCACTGACGGACAAACCATTACCAAACAGAGAAAGGCTCCATTTGTGAGGTCTTTCTTCTCACAGGGCTCCTTCCTAGGGTCACCCGCAAGCTGGCAGGTGGACAGGGTCTCAGTGGCCATGTCCTGCCTCCCAAGCATGAGCTGACTTGCCAGGAATGTGCTGCTCCGCCTCCCCCTCCATTTAAGAATGAAAATGTCTGCCGGCTCCTGTGGCTCAGGGCTTGAACCAGGAGATCACTGTTGATTCCTTGTCAGGGCATATGCCTGGGTTGCAGGCTCCATCCCCAGCTGGGGGGCTAGGTCCCCAGTAGGGGGCATGCAAGAGGCAGCTGATAAATGATTCTCTCATCATTGATGTTTCTATCTCTCCCTCTCCCTTCCTCTCTGACAAGAGAAATATATTTTAAAAAAAAGAAGAAGAATGAAAATGTTTGAAAAGTATGGGCATAAGTGAATGTCAAAATGTAAATGAGAAAAGTTTTTGTGTGTTTTTTTAGAGGGATGGAGGAGTAATAACAGGGAAGCTACCCATCACCACCAAGAGAGAAACATGCCTTCTTCAAGCCTTTCATTCAGTTTTAGCTATAGAGGAAGATCTTATAGCCCCTGTTAACTATTAATACACAACACTTTTGTGTACATCGAGAATAAATAATATTTAAAATGTTCAAAGTAACATCACTCTGCTATAGCCCTCCCATCTATTGGCCTCTTCTGTTTTCTGCACTCTGTTCAAAGCGGCCATTGGAAAGCCTGGGTTTCCTAGTGGACTTTAGGAAGAGTCAGAATATGGGAGTGGAAAGCTGAATCTGCTGCGGACTGGGTGCTGAAAATGCGTGTTGTCACCCATAGCAGCTGTTTGGTTAATGGTGAGAAACCATATGCTTAACTAAGGGACTCACAACATCGAAGACAGATGGTACCCATATCACAAACGATTATTGTAATAAGCATTCTGTGAGTGTAAACTCCGCTTTTACCTGGAAGTGAAGGAAGAGCTAATAGGAACTGAAATTACTAGATGAAATTTAAATGTAACCGTAGAGGTGTATTTTTCTTTTGCCGCCAAGGCTGTTGTCAGCCATCTGATAAAAGAGACAAGACATTATGCCCTGTTGAGCTTGTTTCATCCACACAGAAGTGAACAGGCACAGTAGCCCGGACTAGAGACTCAGGCTGGAAGGTCCACGTGAAGTGGTGATGGTTCTCTATTCACTAGGAAAAGGCTGACAACATGGAGAGGTGAGCAGACCTTCCTGAAAGCCAAGCCTTCCTGGCCCTGGCCTTTGCCCTCAGATGTAGCAGTGAGAAGAGCCATACTCTTAGTCACATTTCGTTGGAAGGAAGCTCCACACACCACTCTGTGGGGTGGGCATCTTCCAGAAACTGGCTTCAGACCCTTTCTGTACTAGGAAAAATATTTTCTTTCATTCCAGCAAATATGAACTCAGTAGCTCCCATGTGCTGAGTATCACAGGAGTTCTGAGGATGACAAAAATACTCTCATCTCCAAGAAATTTGAGCAAAGGAAGTAACATATAAATACAGCCAGCATGCATAGGCAGACTCCAAGGGCTGCAGAGAGCTGGGGGAAGTGCTGTAAGTCTCCGGGTTGATGGGTGAATTTGCTCAGGGGAGGCTCAGGGGACTTGGTTTTGGTCCAGACTTTGAGGGGATTGCCTGGCGGAGATTATCTTAAAAGAGGTGCTAGGGACAGTGAGTGATCCAATCTGAGGAAAGTTTGAGTCACATCAAGGCAACCTAAGAAAGACTAGGGTCAGTGTCAGGTGGTGGGAGCACGTGGGCATGGGGCCCTTCCATCATGTCAGACCTAGCTCTGCACTTTCTAGGCATCACCTCTGGGACCTCATACCAGCTGACCAGGTAGATGGTGCTGATACCCCTAACTGCCTGATTAAAAGTTGGGGCTCCGTGTGGCAGGAGGGGCATGTAGTACTTCTCAATGAGGGGGTGGAGAGGCATCAGCTTGGCACTTTACGAAGATCAGTGTGGCAGACAGGGGTGGGGTGCAGGGAAGCAGGAGGAAGCTCCTGTGACCAACAGCAAGAAGAGTCTTTGGAGATAGCGCTGTGCAAAGCAGACCCCTCCCTGCAAGAAATGAACCTCCGGGGAGGCACAATCAGGGTGTGGTTGTATTTGAGGGACATGGTGGGTTTCCTCCTGGACTCTGGTGTTACTGTCCACACAAGAAGCAAGCAGGAACTCCATGTGGCGGATGGCAGTAAGCTGTGGAAATACCATGTGCTTTCTCTGCACCTTCCCCTCCCCAACCCGGACATACATGAGACATACATCGTTTGATGCCTAATGTAAGCTTGGGCACTTGGATTCGGACAGCCCCACCATAAAGCCATCGATAAACACCAAGCGCTCTCAGATAGCGCTTCTGGTTCCCTTCGTTGGAGCCCTGTGTCCTTGCGGACAGGAGCCCTCTCTCCTCGCAGTCCCTTGGGAGGAGCTCCGTGCTCGATGAAGGGAAAGAATTGTGGGTCATGTTTTCATTCAGCGATTCCAACTCCCATTGTTGCTTCTGTGTTTCCTACCAGTCTTTTAAAATCCTGGCATGTGCTGCTGGAGTGAACACAAAGGAGCAAATGAAATCCTGGGAGTCTCCATTTGCCAAGCTTTGGGTTTTGAAGCCAAACACTGTGATGGCAGCCAACACCACTGTATTACCACACACACAAAAATGTGCTTAGCTCTAATGTGCATATGCACCCTGTGCAGTGGGATTACACAAGCCTAGCAGTGACTATTGGCTGCTGATCCCGGAATGCAGGGTGCACTGTCAGTCAACACTGGGACCCAGAGGGCAGCCAGCCCCGCGCACAGGAGCAGCGAGGTGTGGGGGCTCTGGGCAGTGGCGGCACTGACCCCTTCTGGTGTTACTGTCCACACAGGAAGCAAGCAGGAACTCCATGTGGCGGATGGCAGTAAGCTGTGGAAATACCATGTGCTTTCTCTACACCTTCCCCTCCCCAACCCGGACATACATCAGACATACATCGTTTGATGCCTAATGTCAGTTTGGGCGCTTGGATTCAGACATCCCCACCATAAAGCCATCGATAAACACCAAGCGCTCTCAGATAAGGCTTCTGGTTCCCTTCTTCAGAGCCCTGTGTCCTTGCGGACAGGAGCCCTCTCTCTTCACAGTCCCTTGGGAGGAGCTCTGTGCTCGATGAAGGGAAAGAATTGTGGGTCATGTTTTCATTCAGGGATTCCAACTCCCATTGTTGCTTCTGTGTTTCCTACCAGTCTTTTAAAATCCTGGCATGTGCTGCTGGAGTGAACACAAAGGAGCAAATGAAATCCTGGGAGTCTCCATTTGCCAAGCTTTGGGTTTTGAAGCCAAACACTGTGATGGCAGCCAACACCACTGTATTACCACACACACAAAAATGTGCTTAGCTCTAATGTGCATATGCACCCTGTGCAGTGGGATTACACAAGCCTAGCAGTGACTATTGGCTGCTGATCCCGGAATGCAGGGTGCACTGTCAGTCAACACTGGGACCCAGAGGGCAGCCAGCCCCGCGCACAGGAGCAGTGAGGTGTGGGGGCTCTGGGCAGTGGCGGCACTGACCCCTGCGCCGAGCCCTGCAAGACACCGGAGTCTCCTTGATGGTTGGAGCTGTGTGTGTCTCCTCTATCCTCCAGCAACTCATTACGTACCCCAAGGAGCTACCTGCTTTAGAAAAAGAGAGAGAGGTGACATTTAAAGTAGATTAAGGAGATTTTCTTCCGTTATTGCTTTAATCGTTCCCAGGCAACATTTGCTTTTGCTTTTCCAACCGGCAGCAGATCAGAAAATGATTAGAGTTTCTCCTACAGATGAAATTCGGATTTTTACATTTGTGCTGTTTTATGAGCTGAAACTATTTTAAAAGCCCATGTATGGTTCTCTCTACTAAAATTAGATTTAAACAAAATAAGGGTGTACGGCCATGGGAAGAGGCCATTAGCAGCTTGCCCTATGGCAATATATTGCGTTCACCATTTTCTTCAAAAAATGAGTCTTAATTTGGTATCATTTAGAGAAGAGCTGTGTTCCATTTCATTCAACAGAAGCAGCCGGAGCCGTCTCCTGCAGAGGTTAGCCGAGAAGCTACTGGGGCATTTGCCTGGGGCTTCCCCCTCAGGGCCAGGCAGTCTCTTGAAGCTCTGAACTTGTGGCCTTCTGATCTCAGATCTGTTCAAGATCTGTTCACTCATACATAATCCAAGGCCATGCAAAGTCAGCCCAACATGTACCTTTCCTCCCAGCCAGCTCGCAGATAGCTAATCACAACTCCCAGGCAGGAAGAAGCCATTCTTACTGGGAAGAACAGTGGCCCCCATCCTCTTGTTATTGCTCAAAAAGGCATTATGGTGACTGGGACTGCTTTTGTCTCCGGAAATAATGCTGTGTTGTTCCTGTGCCTGAACTACAGGAACCCACTGGCATGGACTTGCCTCTGCTGGACCCCGCGAGCACCATCACCACCCTGACAGGCCCCAGTGCTTTCAGCATCCCTCCCCCGATCCGGCAGAAGCTCTGCAGCAGCCTGGATGCCCCCCAGACAAGAGGTCACGACTGGAGGATGCTGGCGCACAAGCTAAGCCTGGACAGGTGGGTATGGCCAGAGCCAGGACTAGTTTCTGTTAGACATAAGGCTCCAGGCTGGCAACGGTTAGACATAGGGCGGCGTTCTTTTTTTCCCCTTCATACATCTATTTACTTTCATTCTGCAAATGTGCATTATGCTTCTTCTCTGTATCTTGCAAACACATTGCTGAGAGAAATTCTGGGCTTATCTGACATTTATAAGTGTCAGCTTTTGTGATTCACTCTGCAAAGCGGATAGGCTGAATCCCCCTAAGTAATATATCCACTCACTAAAGTAGTTATTGTTCTCCGACTCCTGTAGAGCAGGACCTCCAGCCGCATGAGTCACTAATATGCAAAACGCAGCGTTGACATTCAGTTACAGGGAGACCTCAGAGGCCTGGTCCTTGTAAAACGTTGCCATCGCTACCAAGCGGGAGACACGGAGTGACCTGTCAAAGATGGTCAGAGCCTTTTCTGGAAGGAAAACCTAAGTCTCTTGATTTTCTGTTTAGGATGTGACCCATACACATGTTGTCTCTTAAATTATCTTACTCAGAGTTGAGGTTAACAAAGTTAAACATTACATTTCCTGTCTGGGGCTGATCTAATTAAGTATGGGCTAGTTGTTTAGGATGGTTCACTGTAAAACACAGTTTCTCTCTCAAGCGAGACCTAGAGACTTAACAGGCAAATGGAGAGACAGAAGGGGTTGTAAAAAGTAAAGAGAAAATTGCCCGGCTGGTGTAGTTAAGTGGTTGAGTGTCGACCTATGAATCAGGAGGTCACGGTTCGGTTCGATGCCTGAATTGCTGGCTCAATCCCATCATGCAGGAGGCAGCCTGGCCAATCCATGATTCTCTCTCATCAATGATGTTTCTCTCTCTCTCTCTCTCTCTCTCTCTCTTTCTCTCTCTCTCTCCCTCCCTCCCTCCATCCCTTCCTCCCTTCCTCTCTGAAATCAATAAAAGTATATAGAGAAAATAGATCTGTACATTATGCCATTAAGCAGCACATTTGCCCATTCCCAATTATAGGTACTTGAATTACTTTGCCACCAAATCAAGCCCCACTGGAGTAATCCTGGATCTTTGGGAAGCACAGAACTTCCCGGATGGAAACCTGAGCATGCTGGCAGCTGTCCTGGAAGAAATGGGAAGACATGAAACCGTCGTGTCTTTAGCAGCAGAAGGACAGTATTGACCCACGCCGGACTGAATGCACAGGGAGTCTGTGGCCGTCCCGGGGATCACAGCTGAGGAGGAAACCCAGACCAGACCAATGAGCTTCACAGGCAAGATGGCCGCTGGAGAGAGAAGGAAAACAGATACGAACTACCGCTATATACGCCCACTTTATGGGACCTCTTCCCCGGAGTTAAGAACAATTGTGTACATTTGTACCTTGAATTTAGAAACCAACCTAATTTTCCTCTTTGTTGGGCTGTATGCTGTGTGGTACAGGATCTTACAGTTTCCTAGGAAACGCTTTTTATTGCTATCCAGATATATGGATAAACTTTCTTAACAAACCCAATTTCTACAAACGTTGTTTACATCAAATTGGACAGGGATGCAGACACTGTCCATGGCTCGTTCTATTTTTGTTTAAATCATTTGAAGTTGAAGCTGTGGACGGTTTGTTGTGTCTATTTCAGATTAGTAATTCACAGAGAAATCACAGACTTTTGCTACAAATCACGTGCATCAAGTGTCTCAGATAATCCTCCCATCGTGTTCTGTTTCTAGAACTTGTAAAACCAGTGTTACTGTTTGTATCAGGGAAGTGGAGAATCTAAGTGTGAAGGAGAAATAGCTAAGAGTCCTTATTCCTTCAGGACACCCACCCGGTGCCCTCTGGGAATAAAGCTGCAGCGTTGCAGGAAAGACAGTGATTCACGTTCAACCACACAAACAAGCATTTCTTCACAACATGTGTGTTTGTAATATGCAATCTGAAGTGGTGTTTTTTAAGGTATCATTATTATCATTATTATTATTGATGAGTATTTACAAGTATTCTAGTAAAAGGCTTTTCTTTTAGCTTCGGTTTTTGTTAGCAGTACTGTTAGTATTTAGCTATTGACTAGACCTGCCTCACCTTCTCCCATAACAAGGTGGGCGTGGTCACCAGTTTAATTAAACAGTCATTGCTTCCTTGACCTTTCATCTTTTCCCACCATTTTGCCCCAGAAAGGTAGTAAATGCTTACTGGCTTTGTCCGTCTGTTCTTGCGGCTTGCTCAGGCAGGGTCTTTCTCCTCTGAGTCCTCTATTCAAGTTCACTTAATATTGGGGTCCTGTGGCCCCACACTGACTGCCCTCAGGACTCTCTCCCTTAGAGGCAGCGGGTTTGGAGGAGGCCTCTGACATGGAAATCAGGAGACCAATTCTCATTCTGGGTTTGTCATTGTCTAGCTGTGCTCCCTTGGGAAAGTCATTTAACCTCACCAGACCTCAGTGTCCTCGCCTGTTAAATAGTGGGGTGGGGTTAGAGAATCTCAAGGTTCCAAAACGCTGGGCCTCCACTCCAGTGCCATTCACCAGTGTGAAGACCACAGTGGACTCTGAGCTGGATCATTTAAAGATCCATCGAGGCTAGACTCTTATCCAGGCTACATTATGCCTTTCAGATAGTTCCAACTTGGAAGACAATGATTCTAACCTGTAACATATTTGTTATGCTTTCAAGTCTTGTCTTTGCGTCATTGGATTATGCTGTTCCCTGAGAGATGGCATCCTTTATTATCACTTTCGTTCCTCTCTTGGGACTATTTGCCTTCCTGGTTAGTAGCAAATTATGTTCTATTACTGTCTTGGTCAAAATTTTTAAATTAAAAAAATTTTTTAACTGAAAAATAGTTCATCAAGGGACTATTTTGTGTAAACTATGATACAGTATTTCCTTAGGACCATCACAGGCTCTTTGTTTTAGCACAGGGACTCAATTCATTCAGCAGGCGGGGATTAGAGAGTTAACAGCCCAGTGGCCTAGCCAAGATTGAAAAACAAGAAGCCACGCAGTTGAAGAAGAACCTTCAAAACATGGCTGTGGTTGACTTTTGGGCTAGAGGTGTCCAGGTTGCTGAATGGATTTGAATTAGAAGTAATTTCAGATATTTCTCCCTTCTTTCCACATATATTTCCTCTCCTGACTATTTTGGTGACTTCTAGATATTTCCAGCCCCCTCCATCTTTGTCACTGAGAAAATACTGATACCTTGATATGGAGACTTTTCTTCCAGACCTTTTATTTCTCATTTTCTGTTGTAGGTATGCATTCTATAACCAGTCTCTCTCAGGCCACTCCCTGCACCATATATAAAATATGTTACACTTATCATGAAAGGGAAAGATTGCACTAATAAACAATTTCAGTGGATAATATCTGTACCAATGCATATTTGACCAAAAGATAGTAAAATTGTATTCTACATTAAAAAATTGTAAATATATATTTTTTAAAATGGAGGAGGAGAAAAAAAGAGCTATTATCCATTGCTGCATCTTAAAATAACTTCTCAAGATTGCTCATCATTACTGGTTTGGGGGGGTTGTCATCTATGGAAATCAAGAATTAGAAATCTGAAGGCTTCTCAAAGGAACTTTCATGCCTAGTGAAAAGTAGAGAGGAGAAAATATCCAGCTATCCAGATAACCAATTCAAAACTTGAACTAGAAAAAAAATCATTAAAAAGTCATAAACTCAGAAATATTGAACACAGCAGGCAGGGACTATATTATCAAAGCCATCGAGGGCCTTTGGCGTTCACTTCAGAGGTTTCATGTTTTTGGATTCAGCATCCCAGCACCAGAAACAGGAAGAGTGGTTGATTCTTTATTAAGTAAGGTACTCATCTATCATCTGTTGTAGAACCCTGTTATGTTTCCTATCAAGTAAATGGCAACTTCCATACTTATAACGCACCACTTATGTCAGATAATCTTCACTATGAATTCTGATTTCCTTCTTTGGAAAAGTGTAATAACTTTTAGTTTGCTCTCAAACTTAGAAGCTCCAGAGCCAACATTTCATTTCAAGGGAGTCACTTCACCAACCATTCTATGTGACCAGTTCTGCCTCTCATGCTTATTTAGCTTGTGCAGAAAGACAAGGCTTACTTCATTTGGAAGGGAATACCTATCCCTTGTGCATGGTGCCATCTAGTGGTGTATAACACAATCTACTTTCAGTTTAATATAAAAACACTAAAAGTTGACAAAGGAACTGAAAACCTGCAGAGTCAATAGGGCCTTTATAACAAATAGATGTGCGGACACTTCACTTCAAATACAGTTTTCGTATTCTCACTTTTTTTCTTCTCAATTAAAGTACCCATATCAAAAATTGCATGTCATTATGAGCATATTATGTCATCAACTCATTCCAACATGACACATCTCAAGTCGGATTTTGATAATAGAAATACATAAGCATCTTTATAAAACAGTCTTTGAAGAATTGTCATTTTAACATTTATATTTTTCATTGGGCTTTATATTAAATCTTTATTTTAAATCTCCTTATTTTTGGTCCTCTAACATTTATTTCTGGAAATGTGAGATGCATCTGCTTGGAAAGAAATGTTTTATGTATGAAAATGAGTACCCTATGTCTAAGTAACTGAAAATTGTGGCTGTTTATCAAGGAGAAAAAAAAGAAGCTTCTTTCTTCTGAATTTGGGGACCTAAGGGCGGAAGTTTTCTTTTCTTTCTTTCTTTCTTTCTTTTTTTTTCCCTCACCGCACTCATTCAAATTTCCTTAAAGTGATCTGGAAAGACTAGAAGTTGGATTCAGAATTGATAACTGGGCACAAGGTGATGCGAATGTGTAACACCAAGGTCCTCCCAGCCAACAGCCTTTCCACACACAGTGTGACTGACTACCAACGTGGAACCCACCTCAGTTACCTAGAAAAAACCATCCCCCATCAGCCAGTGGAGGCTCCTCCAAGGCAGGGCAATATCTTGGGTGAGGTGTCCAATATTAAACTGCTTCACCATTGGCTATTTTCATCTATCCTACTATTCTGTAGATTTTCAATTCACAACATTCAAATAGTAGACCATTCTTTATGGAGACATCAGGGAGACTGAGTTCAGGACACTCTGGCAACTACACATGTAAGCATATATTTGAATGGCATTTCTCCTATTTCCTTCAAGGAAGCATTCCAATAATAGAATCAAACTTATTACTTCTTCTGGAAAGGATCAGACAAGGCTCTTTTCTTATGTACCCTCTGCATCTACATCAGGGACACAGCTGTGCTCTTGGTCCACTTACTCTTCTGTCATCAATGTAGGAGGAAGGGAGCCAGTAAGGGGATCACTATCTCCCCAGAATTTACAAGTGAATAAAAACCATATGAAGACCTGCAAGAGAGTGCAAAGGAGGTGGGGAAAGTTTCCAGCTTCAGGTTGAATGTCAGCTTTAGCTTTTGCTGAGCAGTTGCTCAAGACAACTTACCTGTTTCACTTAGAGACCTCAGTACAACTCCAAGGCTGATGCAAGACAGAAGGACCAGGGAAGCAGCTGAAATAAAATAGGGTTTAATCCATCTTCTTTGAGAAGAGAGGAACTTTTGTGAATCAGGAAGTGTTTGCTCAAAGCCAATTATTTACAAAGATGATAATAGTCAATGAGCATTAAAATTTATAGATCCAATAAGGGAATATTTTTATTCTTATCTCAAGGTAATAAAACTTTCTTTTTTTTTTTTTTTTTTTACAAGTGAATAAAAACCATATGAAGACCTGCAAGAGAGTGCAAAGGAGGTGGGGAAAGTTTCCAGCTTCAGGTTGAATGTCAGCTTTAGCTTTTGCTGAGCAGTTGCTCAAGACAACTTATCTGTTTCACTTAGAGACCTCAGTACAACTCCAAGGCTGATGCAAGACAGAAGGACCAGGGGAGCAGCTGAAATGAAATGGGGTTTAATCCATCTTCTTTAAGAACAGAGGAACTTTTGTGAATCAGAAAGTGTTTGCTCAAAGCCAACTATTTACAAAGATGATAATAGTCAATGAACATTAAAATTTATAGATCCAATAAGGAAATATTTTTATTCTTATCTCAAGGTAATAAAACTTTTTTTTTTTTTTTTTTTTAGCTTTCGAGTGCCTCGTAGGACCAACTATTACACATTGGGTTTTTTGTTTGTGTTTCTGTATATTCTTTTGTTTTTAACTTTACAGAGCTAATGTTGACTGAAATTCTTAAAACTTTGCCACTGTGCAATGAAGTGCTGTTTCTCTACCCTAAGAAATCTATTTGTATAATCTTTGACTGTAACGATCATTTTGAAAGATTTCCCTTGTATCTCTAAAGATTTTTTTTAAATGGAATAAGGCATAAGAGGAATAAATACATTGTAAGCAATGTTAATTTAAGCCTATGTCCCTACAGGTCAAGTAAACCAAACAAAGTCATAACTATTTCCAGAATTCATGCCTGATAACCTGCTATTTTTATAAAGTAGGGAGATGGCCTTATATGTCACTGGGTGGGTTTTCCCCATAGACCAAGTCTGGCAATTAACTTCCTGATCCTTTAGTCTTATCAACCTATGATTGCCTCCATTTCCAGAAAGCCTACTTCAAAAATTTGTCTTCAGAAGAATTGATGGCTCCCAGATTTCCCAGTGGCCTGTCACCTCCCTGTATTGATCTTTGGTGGGATAATAATGGGTTACTTCAACCAAATGTAATGTATGTCCCAGATGTAGTCCAGCATGGTCAAGGAAAACATCCCTGGGATGACAGAAACTCCACCCAGGGACTAGCACACAAAACCAAGCCCTGACGAGGGGCTATTTGCCATCCTCTGCCCCCGGGCCACTTGTGTATTGAGATCTGTCCAGAGGTCTTCCGAGTCAGGAATCCATGCTGAATGTCTTGAGGGTCATGGCCCACCAATTGTTGGGTAGAAAACAGGAAAGATGCCCTCAGATACCATCGGCTGCCCACCAGCCAAAGTATATGTTACAATATACCAGCTTCTCAACGTGCCATTTCAGATTTGTGCCTCGGCAAAATTATTAGCTCCAGGCCATAGCACTTCAGGGCCCCTTTCAAGTATGCCTCCATCCTATGTGTCATCATCCTTCAATCCCAAAGGTCTACTGGGATGGACACGGTCAGACCTGCTGTTGAACCCGACGGCACTGACCCCCGGTCATAACCCTCAGTGCTGGCCTTCAGAACCTGAATGGTGGGCATGTTTTGCTGATCAGTAGCCTACAGCATGAGGAGACCTGGGCCTCTGAACCTCAGCATGATGATGGGGCAACATCCAAGCACCATGACCTGAGCCATGTTGTCATGTTAAAACGCGTCTGTTTTACGGTAGAATGGCCTAAAAGAGCCAGGGAGCCAGGGCCCGTGGAAAACGCCTTTGCCCTTTTAGATTTTTAAAAAGTCTCCTATGACACCTGCTAATGTAGGGTTATAAATACAAGTGGTTACTCCTCCAGGCCTTGGAGAAGAAAGAGGACAGCAAAAGGAACGCGTGGGACATAAGATCTGTGATGTGCGCTCTCCCTTCATTCTTTCCTAGACCTGTTGGTGGGGAAGCCACACGCCCCCCCCCCCCCCCCCCCCCGCTGGGCAGCAGGGAACAGCATCCATCCGCGCGTGTGCTGGCGCAGTGCTGTGTGTTCACTGCGCTCAGTGCTGAGCTGCAGCGAGCTGCTGGCCTTCCTCTTGGCTCTTTCTAAAGAAGACAGCCAGTGTGTGTCAGAGGGGGAGCCCCACAGTCCCTGCTGAAGAGCCGGTGTCGTCCACCCGCTGTTCCCTTTGGAACAGTTCAAGGGCAGGGATGTCAGATGGAGGTCCGGGGCTTTGTCATTTTTCTTTTTTTAAACACAACAAGGCCACCTTGGTGTTTCAGACATGGGACGCTTCTTTTGTTGTTGCGGAGTTCCCTCTCGCTGTATCTTCTATGCAATTCCTTTTTCTAGAAAACCCGGGGAGGAGGAGTGCTCCGGGCAGGGCACCCGCCCGCCGAGGGGCCGCAGCAGAGGTGAGGGCCGGTGCCTCTGCTCTCTCTCTGGCTGCCCCTCCCCGTTCCCCTGCAGTCCCCTGGGTTTGTAACTTGCCTGCATTTATTCTGTCAGCCAACATGTACAAAATGTAAGAAAGAATTTTTAATCAGGTAATAAATTATATTTATAAGCAACAGAGAACGCTGTCTCTCATCTCTTCCTAGCAAAGCCCTTCTCCCCGAAGAGTCACCATGGGCTCCTTCGCGAGGACACAGCTGTTGGTATCTGCACGGGTGGCCATCACCAGCCCCTCGGGGACAGGGCCAGGTTCCAGCGTGTGGCTTCTCACATTGGAACCACGTGAGTGCCTGGGTCCCACTGCCAGAGGTTCTGAGGGGGGGGGGGTAGTTTTTAAAGCTCCCAGGTGATACTGCTGAGCAGTTGGTGGGGAGAACCAGACTCTTAGAACTGCTGCCTGAGGGGCCCCTGGGAGCTTGTGACTAAGAATATGAGGCCCTCCCCCACCCTGAGAGATCTGATTTTCAGTGAGGCACGCGAACCACTGCACTAAGAGGTGGGAGATGACGGGTGAGCCAGGCACACAGGATGCCCAGAGCTCTAGCAGAAGCCCAGCAGGCGTTCACCTTGGTACAGGACGCCGCCACTCCCTTCAGGTGAGCAGGAAAAAGGCCCCAAGTGTGCTGGAAAGCAGCTATGAGACCGAGGCGTGGCGGGGAAGGCAGCCCTGTCCCCGGGGAAAGAACTACCGCTGACCCTTGGACAGCAGGGGTTTGAACTGAACGGGTCCACTTACATGTGGGGTTTTCTCACTCAATACTGCATTTCCTCTTTGGATTTTCTTACTAACACCTTCTGTTCTCTAGCTTACTGTATTGTAAGAATACAGTGTACTATACCTATCACACACAAAATATCTGTTGACTGTTTACGTTATCAGTAAGGCTGCCGTCAACAGTAGGCTATTACTAGTTAAGATTCGGGGCGGGGGGGAGTGTCAAAAGTTACACATACAGTTTTGAACGTGCAGGGTTTTGACGCCCCTAACGCCAATGTTGTTCAAGGATCAATTATACTTGGAGAAGGGTGCCAGGTGGACTGCAACCAGCCCCGACCCCTAACAAGAAAGTGTTTGTGAGCAGCTGTGCCAACACTAAGAAATACCCCCTCACCCCGAACTGGGAGAGTGACTTAAGACTGATTCAAAGCTGGGGTTACAAGCTCAAATGTTTGCCAGGGCTCAGGAAGTAGTGACAATATACTGTATCAACTAAGAATAAAAGCGAGAAGTGAGTCCTGTGGCTGAACTAGAGAATTCAACTCCATGTCAGAGAATGAAAATTCAGTTACAGAATAAAACAGCACTTCACAAAGAAAACAGAGGGCAGCACAGACAGCCCAATATCAACCGGGGAGCCCCAACTTGGAACTTTGGTAGCTGGAGTTCCTGTTGGGAAAGCTGAGCCCAGGAGAGCATGAAATCACTTCCAAAGTCAAGGCTGACGGCCTGCCTCAAACCCGTCCGAGCTGAGGTCCCTGGAGAGGTGTGAGGCCTGGCCTCCCTCCGTGTCTGCGCCTCTGTGCCACCATCCTGAGGGGCTTCAGCAGCCACAAGGACAGACCCCAGGTGATTCCTCTTGGAATCTTCATTCTGACCACAGCCACTTTCTCAGAAACTGCTCATGTACCACTCACCCCCCTCAGGGTTCCCGGTCCTTTGACCCATCAGCTGGCTCCTCTTTAAACCCGTCCCTAGTGTGGACCATGTCAGATGATAGTAATCTTTATTTTCTATGACCCATTACTCCATAGGCCTGACAAACCCTACCCTGAATGAATCCAATTATTGCCACTTCCATGCCTACCCTTTGGGCTGCTGATAGACAAATGAAATCCTCAAACCACATGGATAAGTAGCACTATGAATTTCTAACAACAGCTAATGCTTCGTAATGGATGTGGGCTTACTTCATGCTTGATACACGGATCACTCCATTTCATCTTCAGATTCACTGCATGCAGTAGATATTAGTGTGATTCCTATCCTCGAGGGGAAGAAGCTGAGCCTACTGTCACTCAGCCAAGGGAATGAGTAAGCAGGAGTCACAGACAGGCTGTCCGGTGGTCCAGAGGCCACACTCCTGGCCACTCAGCCACACAGCATCAATGTTGATCAGCGTTGTCCACCACCATCGAGCTGTCACTTCTCACAGTACAATTCTCACTTCTTCAAACCACTGACTTCCTACCTTTCTTCTCACTCTCAGCAAATGACCGTGCCTCCTACTTACAGAGAAAACAGAAGCCATCAGACCATTGCTCTTGCTCCAGGTGTGTGCACTTACCTGCCTCACTCTTCAGGGCTGCCTTGTGATACAATGCGATAGTTTCAACATCAGAAAAAGGCACAACCATCAGATAACAGACACGTTCTTGCCAAGGGGAGAATGAAACCGTTTTATTTGGGGGAATGTTCAAACAAAGCCATATACAATTTGTAACAAATACAATAGTTGTTTGTTCCCTAGTCCTGAATAATTACAGTATATACAAATTCAATAAGGCACTGGTTCCCCAAAAGAACACAACGAGTCTTCTTTTGAAACAGACAACAAAACTCTTTATTGCCAACTCTTCTCCAAAAAAAAAAAAAAAAAAAAAAGCGTTAGACCTTTGTGCTAGACCAAGCTCAGATTTCGGTGAGTCTGACCTTCCACCACTAGCCTCAAAACTGACTCCCGATTATGAAGGAACAAGAAGGTAATCAACATGCGGAAAGAGAAAAGAAACCTGGTTACCAGTGAGAGGGAGTTGTTTCACTTTGGATTAGTATCATGAGCTTCCTGAAGAACCTTTACTAACATGGATTGTGGGAGTAACTAATTTGGGGGCTGTTTCTTTGGTTTTGAATGCTGCAGAGTGGAAAAGCATGCTGGGTTTGTTCAGGGCCCACAGCTCACTATGGAACAATCACAGATGGCTATATATGCCTCAAACACACAAGAGGTTATTCCTGAGGGAACAGCCAGCCTAACGCACTGGACAAAAGTAGGTATGTTTACCCTGAGAACGTGGACTATTCCTCTCTGCCTGTGAATGCCAGATGGAACACCCAGATGAAGCAGCTGCTATGCTTTGTATGCAAGCCATGTGGGACTAGCTTTATGATAACCAGGATAGTCACCTGCTGAAAATGCCCTTTATCCAGGTCATGGTAAATGCTGTTAAGAGGGCCCCTTTCACATGGACACCCCATATAATCTTATTGTTGCAAAACTGAAAAACTAAAAATCAAATTTGCTGTCACAACTTCCCCTCTGGGGTCTTACATCCTATATAATAAAAGGCTAATATGCAAATAGACTGAACAGTAGAACAACTGGAACAACCAAACAACCAGTGGCTATGACATGCACTGACTACCAGGGGG